GGGAGATGAGCTCACCCTGGAGAACAGTCTGCTCTCGCACAGAGCAGCACTTGAGACACTACTCCCTTAAACATATTTTCATGGTTTAAAATACAAACACTATTAAAAAGTGTTTCTCAAGTAAAGATTTATTGTATGCCTAAGAAGCTTATATTGTGGACACTACTAATAAAGAACAACACTTCTGAGCGTGGTGTAACACAGAGCAAAGCTAAGTGCTCCTCCCGCCCCACGGATCGAGCCCAGAACGGTGCCTGCCCAACATGTGGCTTGCCAACTGGAACGATGCAAAATGTCAGACACACATCTGCAGGAAAGGAACTCGTCCCACAGGAAGCAAGATATTGGGGAGCGGGGAGGATGATATAATAAAAAATTCAAGACACCATGTGACTCAGAAAAATGTTGGTTGGGCCGCACATTGCTGAGACTCAAAATTTTGTTTTCTTTTCAAAGGCCTTGGTATATAATGAGAATACAGCTTTAAGAACTAAGATTCACCCTATCAAGCATTAATGATGTCCAGAAACTATGTGAACAATCTTACTCAACATCCCCAAGACGTTTATATCTGTCCAACACAAAACCAGAGGGGGAACATGTTAATTTTCCCAGCCTTTTGATAGCACATGTACAAGATCTCCCCACAAAAAGCCCCAGATAGAGTCTCTAGGACTTCAACTGCCTTAAAATATAGACTTGCATTTATCTTGGCCACATTAACGAGATCTGTTTGACCAATACATTTATATTTATGATGACTAAGGGCAGATTATGGTTGTTAAAATTTGTCCTTGGGACATGAAAACACTCCTCTGTCATTAATACATTTTGTAATATAAACTATGATGTCAGGTCAACGTAAAGGGTAAAAACGTTCCTAAAGTATGCACACATCATTTTTTAAAGCAATTGAGCCTAATGGAATAACAAAGGTCATCATAACAAACCATTACAGCCTTGGTCTTGGCAACTCTGGCCACAGAAGAACCTCCAAGAAACGATCATCATTCCTCCAATGTTATGGCATCCAGACGACAGGAATGGCTCGCAAATGAGTCATACGGGCTCAGATCCGCGGTAGCTATGTGAGCGCTGGACGATCAATTATTCATGTGTTTACAAAGAGCTTTCCCGGTTGATGTTAACCAGAGCTGCCTGCAAAGAAGAGCTCTCCAGCTGTCCTCGGCCGTCCTGGCCTCCAACTAACAAGCAGCTTTAATTGCTGGGCAAGTCATCTGGAAGGTGCCCCTCCCCTAGACCAAGTAAATTCAATCTCTCTGAGACTCTATTAGGTGTGAAAATGTTAAGCAAAAATAATTATGACAATACTTTCTTTACAGAACTCCCAACACATTCTAAGGAGGGAGATAGAAGTTATACTTTACTCAGCCCTCACAGGGCTCCACCAGGACTAGAGACCACTGAAGCCAGGTCAGGGGTTGGCAGAGGACACAAGAGAAGAGAATGAAGGGGAGCAAGTAGGGCCTGTGGGTTTCTCAGACGTAAGAGGGAGTGTTTACCTCTGGCAGCTAAGGGAGCGTGGTTGTGGACCACCAAGCAAGAGCAAGTGCATTATATTGGTTAATAGCCAAATGCGAGTGAACTTGACCCATCGATCAGCAAACAGCTTTGGAAGATGTTGGATGAGAAGTCACTTCTCAAGCTTATTTGTACTTAACACAACCTACAAGATCACCTGAGGCTGTCCAGGAAGACTGAGAATGCAATGAAGGCTCCTCTTTCTAAGCTCGACCACAGAGAACAAGGGCAGGTGGCCCACGGGTCCCCCCCAAGCTGTGTTTTGAGGGAAAGCAGGGTTATAGTCAGAGCTGTGGCTCCACCTTCTTCCCCCAGAGAGAGCACAGTCAGAGCAGACAGGGGGATTCCTCAGGTACATTTTGATTACCCCCAATTCCAGGAACATCTGTGATACTGAGTCAAATCCCCCCTTGCTTGAAATTGAGCAACTTCGGATACTCTCTTAAGTCTTTCATCCATTTCAAAGAAAAGGGGTAGAAGCAAACAGTGTCTGTTCTTGCTGAGAGGCGAGCATGGTATAAAGTGCCTACACTACAGCTGGGGCAATAGAACCCTGGAGTAATTCTGCTTCGTGGGGTGGGAGGCAGTGCTCACCATGAGGAGTTGCAGTGGGAAGGCACGGCCAGCAGACAGACAGAGGGCGCTCCCCGTGACACGCCAGGCATTCGGAGCACTTCCATCACAGTGCACTGGTATAAGGCCAAGACTGGAGAGAGTCTGGGTTTCCCTCCTTCTCTGCATCCCAGACTACCCATCCATGAATGCAGGTTCAGAAAATGATCCCAAAGAAAAGGAATGCTTCCTAGAGCCCACTAGGAGCAGGTCTAAGACACTTCTCTACACGTCCTTCCACCTTCAAGGCCCCTGTTGCACCTTCCTGCACCTTCCTTTCCTCCTAGTCAGAGGAAGGATGGAGCGAAGGAGCCCCCAGTGAGAGGCCTCCATGCGGCTGGGAGCTTTTAACTTATCTTCCTGGGAACGCACCAGTCTTGTTAAATGGGATTCCTTGCCCCATTGTGGTACTCTTTCTAGAGTTCAGGGGCAGAGTTTCTCAAAAGATGGTCAAAGACATAGGTGGGTATCATGGTAGGCACCTGTAGTCCCAGCTACTGGGGAGGCTAAAGCAAGATCACCTGAGGCTGAGAGATTGAGGTTTCCATGAGCTATGATGCGGCCACAGCACTCTACCCAGGGAGACAGACTGAGAATCTGTCTCAGAAAAATGTGTAGCCTCAATTTAAAAAAAAAAATAAAGATGGTCAAAAACAAACCTTTGGGAAGGGTAGTATTAAACACAGATGTCTTTATGCAGGCTCTCTGGAGGCTTCTGTGTTGAAGAGCAGTGAGGTAGGCAGAACTTTCCAAACTTACCGGACCATGGATTCTTTGTAGGAGCACCCTCCAGGCAAACTTTCAGAATCCAGGGGCCAGTAAAATGTTAGGAAATACAGTGTTAAGGGGTGGTAGCAACATCGTGATTAGATCTACAATCGAGATCTGGTCTGAGAGTCACTCTGTCACTTTTGAGAAACTCTAATGCATGGGTCATTATGAAAGTTTCGAGATACACAACAATAAGAAACATAAAATCTGAGCCATGGAAACAAATGAAGCCCTCCCAGCAGCGGCGATAAGCCGAGCAAGTTGAAACTTGCACAGGTGAATCAGAAGGGATACTCCTGACTATTTCTTTTTCTTTTCTTTTCTTTTTTCTTTTTCTTCTTTTTTTCTTTCCCCCGAGACAGTGTCTCACTTTGTCTCCCTTGGCAGAGTGCCGTGGCACCACAGCTCACAGCAACCTCAAATTCTTGGGCTCAAATGATTCTCTTGCCTCAGTCTCCAAGTAGCTGGGACTACGGGCGCCCATCACAATGCCCGATTATTTTCAGAGACAGGGTCTTGCTCTTGCTCAGGCTGGTCTTGAACCTCTGAGCTCAGGCAATCCACTAGCCTCAGCCTCCCAGAGTGCTGGGATTACAGGCGAGCGCCACCATGCCCGGCTTTGACTGCGTTTCTTGAAAGTGAAATAATGGACCACAACACTGTCTCAAAACTGCCATATGACCCACATAGATCCGTTCTCCACCATCACAGATTGCTTTACTTCGTCACACTCTGGGAACTCTGGGGGCACCTGTCTGGAGCTCCCGTCTGCCACCACTGTTGGTGACAGCCTCATAAACGGTTTCCCAAAGTCCCAGTCAGCTAGTGCAGCGGACACTTTGCACACACTCTGCACACACTTTTACCAGACTGGCAGCCTCCCGCTGGCTCCTCTCCTCCCCTGCTCTGTCATCTGTAAAGGTGGAAGGAGACCATTTCCATCAGGCCTGCTCCTTCTCCTACCTCCCTGTATATAGTCACTGCTGCTTGGGTTGCAAGTCTCTTTCTCTGTAGAATAGCCGTGAAAGTGAGCTTTCCAGGGAGCCCACCCAGAGCCTTTCCCACAGTGTCCTCTGCAAGACGTCCTGCTCTGGGTCTGTAACGCTCCACTGTCATTGCAGCATGAAGCTGCCACACAGAAGGAAATGCCACCGAGGGTGAACAGTCAGGCCTGACCCGGAATATCTGAATGTCCATCACCCGCTGTTGTAAGATCTTCCTGAAGGTCTGTGACGGCCTACGTTCCTCATCCTGTATTTCAAGGGGACTTGTGTGCACGTGTCCAACATCCAAAATAAACGAGACAGCTTTGCCTTTGCCATTAACCAACTCATTAAATATAAAATAAACACAAGTAAATGGCTTTAAATCTCAGTGACAGAAAGCTTGGCAACCACTCTGTGATTCTGGAGGTCACTGGATCCTCTCTCTTCAAACAGGACTCTTTTTCACACTGTGAGCAGGAGATTCTCGCCCAGGGCAAGGGATACCTGGGTGCCCCCTTCCATTTGAGAATTGCCCCGTAGTGCTAGCTGCCCCGGAATGATGAGTTCTGCCTAAAGTGTGACCTTGGACATGGACGGGCATGATGAAGTTGATGCTACTTCTCACAAGAGGTTAGAAATTCAGGTCGAAGGCCTTCAGCTTTGCCACTGATTACAAATACCTAGGGGTAGCCACCGACCCCAGCCTTGGATTTCTGATAAACTCTGGCTACTCGCAGAGAGCTGATATTCACACAGCTTCCTAAATCCCGTGTGCATTCATCCCACCATGGGTTCCCCAGGTCCCGCTAGTGACGCTGCATGCCAAACTCTTCATTTATTCTCAATCTATCCGTAGTTTCAGTATAAGGTGGATTTACTGGGGAAAGTGATGGCCCAGGTTGTCTGGATAATTGTTTCAATTCTCCACTTTGCACCAAGTGGGCAGAAAACAATCTGCAATAAATTCACAACCACCAGAAAACACACCAGGTGTGCGCTCACTCCTTAACTTACAATTGTATCCCAAAGCTCAGCTAGGTTTCCGTGATCATTAACCTCTTTTATAAACTAAAGTGGAAAATGCACAGCTTTGATAAAAAGCACGTTTACTCATTAACTCTTCAAAGATGAGGGATATGAAGCATGTGAGCAGGTCCGTTTTTCAGAAAACCCAGGTCTGGTCAGGTGTCAGAAGTATTGGCTTTGTCTGTTCACCTCATTCAGCTTTTAAAGTCTTCTTCTTGTGCCAAGAAGTTACTAAGATCTGAAATTAGTCACAGTAACTTCCACTTATTTATAGTTTTTAAAACATTTTTCATGATTCAGTCAACTTCCTAACGGACTGAACTGTCCTTCAATCAAAGGGCAAATGGCAAGGAAAGACTCACATCTCAGAATTGCATAGTTCAGTAAAAAATTAGATATTGGATTTTAAACAAAGTAACATATCCTGTCCTCTTCTCCTTTTAAAGATTTTCAGTGATCTATTTCAAATCACACCATCAGAGGTCTCCTCCACAGACTTCAGAACTTTTTCACCCTGAATTTTACTGAGTCGCGGGTTGAAGGGACCAGCCAGGATCCAGAGGCCTTTATGACAGCACAACCACCTCTCGGAGAACTTTTAGGAAATCAAACGCAATCTGAGAAGTAATATGTGGATCATTACAAAAGTTCTGAGATACACGAAAATCAAGAAACGTAAAATCCACTCAAATGGAAACAAAGTCCTCCCAGCTACACCAATAAGCTGAGCGAGTTGAAACTTGCATGGGTCAATCAGAAGTGACGCTGTCAACTGTGTTTCTTGGAAGTGAAATAATGGACCATAACATAGCCTGCCTCAAAACTTTCCATAGTGACTCACGTAGTGCCAGATTCAAGAAGATCTGATAAATTAACACTTGGAAGCGCTTCCTAAAAGTCAGGCCTTTTATGCCCTTTGAAAAGTTAGATTGAGGATTGAGGAGAAAATCGAAGTTGCATCTCAGCCTTATTTGGGCAGTAATTTAATTTTTACTGCATGCCCCAGCCACAGAAGTAATGAGACATTCCAGAACATCTTTCTGGCTCACTCACTCTTCCTCTTTCTCTTCTCTTTCCCTGAAGAGTGGTATACGTAGTGAGAAGATAGGAGGTTGGCACTCTTGGTAGATAAATGGAGAAGCAGGAGAATTATCCCACAGTCACAGTTAAATAGGGAGTTTTCAGAATGTTGTAGAGTCCCACTGAGTTATCAAAACTATATTTTTTTGTTTTGTGCACAGGGACACTAGAAATATTATCAAAACATGAAGACAGTCCAAAAGAGGAAAAACTTCAAAACCACAAATTTCAAGAAAATGCTGAGGTGTCAGATGAAACACGGCTTCAAGTTTTGTCATTTTTGAGGACATTTTTGAAAGGCGTCTAATATTCCAGGGCATGTGGTTCCCATTACTGGCCCAGCAGGTACACAGGGTCTCCCACTTTGATTGTTCCTGGGTTTTCCAGAACAAAATACTGTCCAAAGAGAGGTGATTTTCCATATAACTTTTGTTCAGAGGGGTCACACTTGCGGTAACTGCAATAGGAGAAAGATCATGATGAGTCATGGCCCAATAGAAGAAAGAAGAGCCCAGCCAGCTCCTGGCTTCTTCTCAGCCCAGGAAAGTATCCACCCCACACAGGGCTGCTGTGTCACACAGCTTGAAGGGCACCTTCTCATCAAAGTCTAACAGAACAGTGCCTCCAGGAGCTGGGCAGCCCGCCCAGGCACAACTACAGGAACAACCAATGACCATATTCCCACATCCTTTCTCTATGCTAATGTTCCCTTTTCAGCACTGAGATTAGATACTCAGTATGACTAGACATACTTTATCACCTTCCTTTTCCCCAGGCACCTCTCCTCCTCGCTACTCCATGTCTGCCGTGTGAACCTGGAGTCATCCTTTCTACCATCATCTTCACTGTCCATAGCTTGTCCACAGCTGTGGGGTCCCTAGGTGCTTCCTGCACATCATTTGACCCTGCTTGCTTTTCCTCATTCCCACCTTCACAGCCTTGTTTCCAGAATGTTCAGACTGTTATAATAACGTCTTAATTCTCCAACTCACTTTCAATTCACTGTTGAAGCTACGCTATATTACTGTGTTAATTGTGCTTTGGTCCTCTCAGTCCTGGGCTCAAAAACCTTCCAGGTTCCAGTACCTAAGCAGGGAGGGTCATCCAACCTGTGGCCTGTAGGAATGTTCATTTTGTGAGGACTTTTGCTTATGTGTGCTGTCAGCCACCAAGAAAAGTTTGCAGGACCTTTGTTTTTCTTATCGGCTTGCATTAGTGTTTGTGTACTTAATGTGTAGCCCAAGACAACTCTTATTTTCCCCATGTCCAGAGGAAAAACAAAAGTGTTGGACACCCCTATTATTCTTTAGGCCCTAAAAAGTAACATTCCAACTCTTCAGCCTGGCTTACAGGGCCCTCCACCCAGCCTCGGCTGGCTTTTTGAAACCCACTGCCCTCCACTCCTTTCCTGCA